ATTCCTGCAGGTAAACAGAATATTTAACTCAAGCAACAAATGACGGAGTCCAAAAAATAAGCTAACAAATTGTTTACATGTTGTAGTCTTGCATTGCAGTGCTGTTCTCCAAGGTTGCTGGGTTAAACTGATGGAAACAAAGCGAAGGCGAAGGGGGGGAGTAGAACCCGAAATAGAAGCTTAAGTTCTTAAATATAGATGTTTTGTTGTGCCATCATGGCTGCAATGTTAGCAAAGCAAAACATCCCTTGTTCTGCATCAGCGGCGCTTTCAGGCTCTTCTGTTTATTCTTCTTCCTGATTGTTCTGTTGATTTATTCCAATGGAAATTGCGGATAGACGTTGTCACGATTGTTGCTAAAGAAAGTAGAACTGACCTCTGCATGCTGTTTGTTTTCAACCTTCTACCAAAGAGTGCAGAGGCACCGGTAACCGAGGTGTTTGGTTGTAACATGACAATCTGATAAATGTAGTTCGTTGTTGATGAGGCTGGTTTGTACGACGTAGTATTGGGGCCAGGCTAGAGATTTTTCTATTTTTCTTATTATGAGAATGAAGTCGTCCACTTTGGCATTCTGCCATATTTGATTTTGCTGTGCTAAAATTTCCTTATTTGTCAAACCGTTGCCAAAGTGTAACTTCACATGATGCTCGACATTCCTCGTTTTAGGGAAGAAAGTGCTTTTTGTAAGTTTTGTCATAAAATATGACTTTATTCTTGTTATTTTAAGACTTTATTCTCTTAATTTTATGACTTTATTCTCTTAATTTTATGACTTAATTCTCGTTGCCAATTTGCTCTCATAATTTTATGAGTTTATTTTCTTAATTTTATGACTTTATTCTCGTTGCCACTTTGTTCTCATAATTGTATGACTTTATTCTCATAATGTTACGACTTTATTCTTGTAATTTTATACTATTCTTCTTGCAACTTTATTCTCATATTATGACTTTATGCTCTTAATTTTACAACTTTATTATCCTAATTTTACAACTTTTCTTAATTTTACGACTTGATTCTCTTAATCTTATGATTATTCTTGTTGTAACTTTATTCTCATGTTACGACTTTATTCTGGAAATAGAAAAATCTCCAGGCTTGCTCTAATACTCGGTCATAGGTTTTAACATAAATTATCTTTTTTTTATGTCGGTCAAGTTATGTTTGAGTCACTGGTGTCATCTGCTCTTTTTTAGGTCAGTGCTGTTAAGACACAGGTGAGATGTTGTTGCTGTTTTAGTCAGAAGGTGTTTGGGAAGTGAAAGAGGTTTTCATCCTTCTTATTGATGACTTTGATCAGCCGATCATCACACTCTGGTGATGACTGGTTTTCTGGGTTGAAGCAAATCTGTCTGTAGCTGAAATAAGGGACCAAGTCCTAACCCGGTTCCCAAGTTTTAAAGACTAATTTACTCCGAGTTTCTGTCTTTAATTCACTGATTTAATAAGGTTGGTTAATCAGGTTCTCTTTGTTCTCTGCGTTTCTAACAATGCTACTAACATTTCTCTCTCTTCCTCCCTCTCATCCAATTACCTCCCCCCTCCCTCCCCTCTTGCATTTTGTTGTTGTTTGTCCTCAGTGTGATCAAGACCAATGCATTCAGAGCACCAAATTCGTTTTGCAGGCGGCAGCCACCCCCCTCCTCCAGCAGCAGACCAGCGAGCCGGTCATCATAACATCTTCCACTGAGAACGGGACGTCTCTGCCCGCACGCGCCTCTCTCACCCTGGGCGGCCCCTGCTCTACGTTCCCCCTCGGCCAGCCTACCCCGCCTACATCCACCCCCAGCCTAAGCTGCCAAGAGGCTGCCGACGTGCTGCCAATCCACGGACACACACTAAACCACACCTATCCCCTGCAGGAGCAGGCGCCCCACCACCACTATCTCACCCCAGAGGAGGTGCCCTCACCACCTGGTATGCTTCACTGCGGCAGCCCGCTGGGACACAGCCACACTGTGCAGGCTGGCTTCTACAACCCTGCCAGCCAGGACTCGCTCCACGAGGACTCAGTGAGGGGGCTGGTAAAGCTTAGCTCTGTCTGACAGCGGCGGATACAAACCCAACACCTTCTGGAGACTTTAAACTCTCCTGAGCTCATTTGTTTTTGATTGACTACCCCCTTCAATACAGACTCCAGCTGCTAGAAACTGGAATCTAACTGAACTGAAGGGAAACCTGTTGCCATGATGTTGCTGCAAGAGACGAGTTACGGTTCACGTATCACAGCCCAATAAGCTGATGGTTTTTTTTTTCTACTTCAAGGGAAGATTAAGCAACTTTAACTTGGGAATCTGCAAACTGGAGTTTGCATTTCAAAGTGTGGTATCTATGTCCGTAAGCCATGTCGAGCAAAAACTAAAGAAAAGTTTTAAAACTTCAGGTCAGAGAGCTGCATTTCTGCCACTGGATCAAACCGGCCTTTTGAGAAACAGATTAAACCGACTTGCCTGTTGCTGATCAGACCGCGTCTCCTGCCTTTATTCTCAGCATTGTGATGGTTTGTCAATATGTTGCATATCATTCTGCTATTTCTATGTTAAAGAAATCAGAGACTGTTGTACTGTACCATAGTTACAACTCTTACAAATTATATTTCCTGTGGATGTTAATAAAACACTTTTTACCACGTCGTTGTGCATATAAATTGAACAGATTGTATTTTATTAGTTTATCATGTTTCCTCTCCCTGGTGAGCAGCAGTGTGATCTCTCCTTGATGCTTGCAGGTGTCTTTTAAAGGAAGACAAGTTTTCTGTAAACTTTAAAACACCAAGAGGTGGCAATGCTTGGTGAGCTGCATTATTTACTCTCTGCTGCCTCACTGTGGTTTAACAGAAGTACTGCAGGTAAGAGCTGAGTTTGTATCCACTAAATGCTTTTCCTCCTAATTATCTCAACTTAAAGCAGAAACTTAAATAGTCACTTTTTATGAACAATTTGTACCTTAAAAATAAACAGTGGAAGCCAATATTGTGAGAAAGTAGATTTTAATAACTTTTTTGTGTCCGGTTTTTAACTTGAAATGGGGACGGGTTCAAATCTTGGATATATTTATATATATAGATATAAACATTCATATGGCATGGAAACTTGGCAATGGACAAGCTGATATCCATTGCTTAAATGATCTATAAATTAAATATAAGATTTTGATTTTAATGTCTGCGATGGGCTGACGACCTGGGATAGCGGAAAATGGATGGATGGATGTTGATTTTAATGTGCAAATGACTTGGAGTCTTCATACATATTAGATGATCTTAAATATATCCTAGATATATATAAAAAAAAAAAAAGCTTGGTCTGTTCTAGAAGGGATCCACGGAAGGATTGTTGCTGAGGATGCAGTGAGCATCCTTAAGCAAATCATCTTAGACAGTAGGCCTAACTATAACTCACTCTGACCTGAATGTTAAACAAAATCCCCTTCATGGCGTTATGTCTTAATGTGTGCCATCCAGTAACATTAAGGAATCCTTTATCAAACATTTTTAAAAAGTTGTCCATTTTTTCTTTCTTTAATTCCGTGTAGCCTAATCCATATTACTTGCAATACTTTAGAATCCCTGCTTATGCAGTTCATTCCTCTGTGGTCGAGGAAGGTTATGAAGATTTGCGTATTGATCTTTTGATGCCAAATGTGCTTTTCTGATCCTTCAACAAATACTTGCTAAGATTTCCAGCATCTCTTTATGCATACAGTAACAAACCAGCAGGGAAAAGCTGGAGCTCCACACAGATCATTTGTATAACGGTTAGACTCTGCTGTTTGCAAAGGTAGCAGATGTTCTCCATAGAAATGCATTAAACTTATCATCCAGGCAACTGTGGGGAGCAGTTAAAATAGTCAGGCCATTTCAGAGGAAGATGCATTTTGGGTGACTTTTATGGCCTGATTTTGAGAACAACATCCTTGCTTCTATTTTTAGGCTGCAGTTGGCTTTATTTTTGTATTTTTTGAAAGTAGGAAGACGGGAAACGGGATTGGAGAGAGGAGGAAGAGGAGCGGCGAAGGTCACCAGGCCAGGACTCAGACTGGAAGAGTCACTGCATATGGGTCGACCTTCTACCGCTGCGCCTAACATCCCTGCTTCTTTATCAGCCTTTTCTCTAATCCCTTCAACACAACAATAGTCTATTAAAGGCGGAACTTAAAGCAACAGCAGTTTACAAAAACATCAAACAGTAACAATATCGACAGCAAATTACAGAATTCGTAAAGCTACAGGCTACCGTGGTGTTAAACCAACTGAAGAACGGAACTGATGAGGCGTCAGGATTAACGAAGCCTGGTCTGGAGCAGGTTAGCTGTACAGCATAAATCACCGTGGTAAATTCATTGGCACTGCCTTTGTGAAAAGAATCAAGGCCAAATTTAAACAGGATATCCAGAAAATCACCTAATTATCAGCATTTTTTTAAATGTTGCACCCTTCCTCCTGCTGCTCCTCCATTATCCATTAATTTTCTGTCCATCTTCATGTCTATTTCCACGCTATAGGTCCAGATATTTCCGTTTTTACTTTATCCTCCCATCAAACTCTCTTAATGCCATGCCCCCCCACACACCCGCATTAGTGTTCATTTCATCCCCGTCTTCCCTCCAGTATTTAAAGCCTGGTCTTAATTCATATTGATATTTTAAACGAAAAGGACAGAAGTCTTAAAATGTTGCATAAAGTCGATGCTTTTCAATAGTTTCCTTTCCTCATTTCCTTCTGTGCGTCCTTCGGTTTCTTCCTTCCATTCCTCCTAACTTTTACCTGATTTGTAGGGAATTAAAAATAGAGCCTACATCTCTACTAATGAGGTTTGAAAATTAAGGTATAGTAAACAATAAACTGCAGTATAGTATTTAACAAGCAGATACGGGGATATAAAATTCTGTGTACAAACCTGATGTTAGTCACAGAGAAAAGGAAAACAATCAAAGAAAATCTTGTTTTTTTTTAGTTTGAAATCAAAACCAAGAAGCTCTAGAAAATCTTAGTGAGACATTCATCTTTTATTTATCAAAACATGAATAGAGAGCTACTACAGAACGCAGTACATAGAATTATTAAATCTTTATATTTTGACTGCAGATATTTGTGAGGGTATGGAATATTTACACCTTAAGACATGATTCAATATCTGCTGAACCTTCAGATGACCAGGAATTGGAGGAAAAACATGATTTAAAAAGTTTAAGGTTACAGACCTTTTATAAGTTAGAAAATACATATTTCTGATATAATACTGATATGAAATGTAAAATACAATCATGCACATTAATGGTGCAAAAAAAGAGATCGGCTCTTTCAGTTGAACAGATGTTTGTTAATGTTCAACATTGTTTCATTTTAAGACTTGCGTATAATTAATATTATAAGCAAAGTCGAGTTAAGTGCTTAAATTTACATTTTTCCCTGTTTTACATGAAAAGCCTGGAAAACGGCTCAGATTCAGAGAACAAGAAAGGAAAAAAAAAATAGATTGTGTCCATTAAGGACCATGAAGACTAAACCCACTGACCGCCGTCACGGCGCCAGATTAGTTGAGGCTGGAAGCAGCCTCCATGTTCAGGGTAACCGGAAGCTAACCGAGTTCCAGCCAACCAGAGCATAATGTTATCACCACAGCTTCACATCACTGAGCTCCAGGTCTCCCATGATCTCCAGCTGGTCGATGCTGCTCAAGTCCTGCATCCGGTGTCTAAACTCCAACAAGTGGGAGCCGTTGACCGCCAGCTTGAACTGGTGGGGCTGACAGAGGAGGAGGATCTGGAGAAAGATTATATACAGATGGTTTTTCTGAACGCAGCTCTGATCTTCTTATATTCTTGGTCAGTTCCATTTCATGTGACTGACTGTAGCTCTTGGGTTAAAGATAAGAACAGCAGGGAAAACTTAACTTGTTGCTCCTACCTCAAAGTATTCACCCGCTGAGAAGGGAAAGAAGGGCAGCTCCCGCTCCTCCTGACCCCAGGATCCGTCCAGGTACGAATTCCTGATGAAGACCCCCGACTTCATCCGGGGGTTCAGATGGAGAGCAACATTCTCTGTTTGGCTGTTGCACAGGTTGACTGAGAAACTGAAACACGAGCAAACGTCCTTTAAGGAATGACATCAGCACACAAGAAAAATACTCGAAAGCATCAAAAACAGTCTA